TCCGGTAGTTTAGTGGTTGGAGTATCGGCCTCCAACTCTAAAGTCTTGGGTTCAAATCCTGTCAATGACAATTCTCTTAAAAAATTAATAAACTTCTAAAAAATATAATATAAAGAGAGGGAAGACTTCTAAATAAATAAAGGGGGTAAAGGAGTTGTAAATAAATAAAAATTATTAATTTAAAAAATTATACTTTCAACGTCGGTTCTAATAAACCGACGTTAAAAGTCCGTAACTTTCAACGTCGGTTGTTGAACCGACGTTGAAGGCTTTATTTGTAGTAGTGAAAGAATCATCAAAAATAGAGTAAGACATTGCCAAAATGAAATGTGAAGAGTAGCGAGGTACCTTGAAACGATAATGAGAGAAGAGCGCGAACAAAGAGAAATGGAACAAAGCAAGAGTTGTAGAAAACACAAGAAGGAACAAAGCAAGAGTTGTAGAAAACACAATAAGAAAGAGCAACGCAAGAAAGGAAATAAAAGGTTGGAATAGTTTCGTATTCCAAATAAAATAATATAAAAACTCAATGACTACTAAATTTCCCCTAATTGATACAATGTCAGACCTTGGAAAATAATATGAGAGCATGAAAAACTTGTTCATCTTTATTAGATATTACACCTGCATACACTACAAACTCCGAGATTGGGGGAGGGGTTGTGTACCTACTCGACCTCAAAATCATGAGATTATATAACAATTGTGATAATTAAACAAAATATCTTAACATTATTTGAGATATTCGAAAATCATTTTGTTTTGAGATACCCAAAAATCACCATGAAATATCTGAGATACGCCCAATAAAATAGGAATAAAATATTTTATAGATATTAGACAATTATAGTCCTAATACCAACTATATAAATAAGTTTGATACCCCTTTCATTGTCATTCCATCATCAATTTTTCTACTCATTATTACACATATTGACTTAGCGTCACGTAGTCTTTTGCATGCATATCTTTTTACACTATTCATCTACATAGAAAGACTTAAAAAATGGAAAATAATTTGTGATTGAACGTAATGAGTTCAATTACTCAAAAAGGAAAAATTGATTCACCTTAAATTCATTGGGAATTTCATTTTTAGTTTTTGTTATGCTTTTGTTTTATTCTTTTTTTTTTTTACATATTTTGTTTGAAATTTCAACATCTAATTAATTAAATGTTCATTTATTAGGAGTTGTATATGGAATCAACTCATCCTATTTACATTCGTCCCACCTTTAACTCTTAAAAAACATGACGTGGTGAGATGGTGCACCAAAGTCAGGACGGACTACAAGTTTTAGCTCGTCCTATCAAAGGACAAACTGGTGGTTTAGCAGACCTGCCAATATTTTTATATGTATTTCTTTTAAAATACATATTTAATCATGGTTATCAAAATCGGATCTGGCCGATCAGTTCAACCGGTTGAACCAGGAACCAGTGCGATAATCAGTCTGGAACTCCCTATAAACCGGACAAATAATGAATCGGTCAAAACCCTGAAAACCAGTAAAATCAAATGGGTCAAAGGATCACCTGTTTTTTTTTTAAAGAAGAGCTAAATGACGTCATTTTGTCCTATATTTTTTTTTTCTTTAGTTTAACATAAATACACACAAACATGAAGAGAGAAAGTTATTTTTGTACTGGTGGTGATATTCTTCTTTTACTATAATTCATTCTTACAACTGTCATCGACCCACTACCTTTGATTGTCTCCTTCCAGCGTCGTCCTTGTTGTTGTCGTTGTCTACTATTATCATCACTACAATTATTCATAGAAATACAATAACATGTAAGAATCACAATCTCTTAATTTTGAAAATTAATTTGATGAGTTGACGAGTGAGTAATCCTTGGGTTCCATAATCATGTCTTAAAATAAAATAAAATGTATAAAATTTGAAGTTAGATACAATGAAAGGTATGGTGCAATTTTCCCCCTTAATTGTTTTCAAGTTAGATGTAGTTTTCCCCTAATTATTTCCAAATTAATTATAGTTTTTTTCCCTAATTATTTTCAAGTTAGGTGTAATGACAATTTTTTTTAATTGTTTTGTATTCCAAGTGTTTGATGATATGTTTATTCATGTTAATTTTATTTTCTTTATGTATTTTACAAATCATTCTTATTATTATATAATACTTTTTCAAAAAAACATTTATATTGGATTGAATTTGTTATTATGTTGTGATAAACTTATTTTAAGTTCAATATATTATTATATTATTAAAATGTATTATTTTATTAAATCTGGTTCAACTCCGATTTAATTCCTGATTAAACCGATTGAACCTTTGAACTTTGGACCTATACGTTTACCAATTTAATAACCAATCTAGTTTTAAGAACCATATATTTAATTATATGAACATTTTTTAAGTTTTTATTTATTTATTAATATTATATTAAATAAATTGAGAAATTACTATATTTATGTATTAAAATACATAATATAATCAATAATTTAAATTTAATTGGTTAATATTTTTTATTTAAATTATAATATTATAATATATTTATATATATTTATCAACATAATAAAAAAATATAATATTTTTAATTATAACATTTTTTATTTTTATTTTAATATATTTTAAAAGCCGTTTAACCCATCACATCTTATTTTTGTTCCGTTGGATTGGTGAACTAGAAACTAAACCAAAATGGGCCGACGGATGTATCATAAATTTAATTATAATATTCATTAAAATTAATTAAATGTTAAGGGATCTTAGCTCAACTTACGCGAGTTATGTGTTCAATTTTTTGGATAAAAAATTAATTAAAAAACTTTACTAAATTTTTCAATGAAATAAATTTAAAATCTATAAAACGATAAGACATGCATTTTTCGTAGATTTTAATAAACTTAGAAGAAGCTCTTAATTAAAATGCCGTTACAGTGTTACGAGTCATGAAAAGTGATTGTGTCTGCCACTTTTGAATGGAGTGAGTCACAAAGGTGTTCTCATTGTCATCTTTTCTTGTTAAAGACAAAAACGTGTTTCACTATTTTTACAAATGAATCAAACTTACGCTTGCAATTGGATCACAAGACACTTTGTCGTTTCCATTCACACTTCTTGTCTTTAACCAAACTTCTTTTTCGTCGTTTTATGCCCTTCTTTAACCACCATTACCATTGTTTTTCTTCATACCAATAATCAATTTCTCACACTCCATATAACTAAAAAAAAGTTAATTTTACTCGTACCAAAAATAGTTTAAGGAAACGTATTTTCTTCTTCAAATGAAACTGTATAGTTAATAGTTTAATATAGGTGTCAATTGACAAAATTTAAAATAATCTAATAGATATTTTATTAATACATATTTAAACTATACTACGTTATATATGAGGAAGACAATGTAAAAGTTCTCATTTTTTAATAAAATATGTTATATTATGTAAATAATATTTTTATCAAAGTAAAAAATAACTCTTAATCTAAAATAACAAACAAAACGATTTTAAGCTTTTGATTTTTGACAAATTCCATAAAATAGTCTAATAAATATTTAAATCATATCACAATTATATGATACAGATGACGTGAACTTCTAGGCAGGAAGATTAAAAGAAAGGTGAGAAAGAGAGTTTGGTATTTGTTTGTGTGATTAAAACATTGATTTGTTTGGTGAGTTTATGTCTTTGTCGAGTAGGAAGGTAACACAATCCTGTTTTTCTATGTTAAAAATTATAATAATGAAGATCATTTCAACCTTCTTATTTTCCCATGTGGAAGCACTTTTGACTTTTAACACACCAAGATCTCTTCTGTTGCTCCAGAGATATCAACTACCCTAGCCCTGCACATACCTTTAAACCAAACCTAGTTTTTCACGTACCACTACTTTTTTGTCTAGGGTTTGTAAGTGTAGCATGGAAATTGTTTTCTTGGACAAAGTTTTTCTCTTCCTCTGCCTTAACCATGTCGGATTGTGTTGTGTTAACCTTTACTTTAATTTGCGGAAAGCCTACATCACATTTGTTTGCCGTACAATTTTTGTTTCCCTTGGTTATAATTACAAACTCCCTTTTTAAAAGTCAATACAATATATATAGCATCGTAATCATTTCAGTCTGATGTTTCAAAATTGCATTCTAGAGCAAATATGGTAATTTACCCAATAAAATAAACCAGCCAAAGTTGTGCATTGTGTAATCCTAATCTCAGTTATCTTTTGGCATAGCAGTGACAGTGAAATATGATCCTATGACCTGATTAAAATCACCAAAATTCCTCACACTGATGAATATAGAATGCGGATCTCTTCCCACATAATTTTGTACTCCCAAATGCACCAACAGCAATTCACAAGCTCTAAAGATAACTTTGCACAATCATTAGAATACAAAATCGTGATAGAGTGAACAAAAACTGAAACAGAATAGAATGGAACTGATGTCTAGAATAGTTGCTTCTTCATAAGATTCTCATTGACTCCAGAGATATATATATTTTAAATGAACAACTGAGATATGCCATCGGCTTTCTGATCCACAAGGATAAAGAAAAAGCATCATTTAACCCCCAGAAAACAAAAAATAAAGGAAAAGTATAGATCTTCATCAAAATATAATCTTCTTTCGAATTTTTTGCCACTTCCTTTCCCTCTGTCAAAACAGGTAGAGAATATTGCCCCTTGGATAGAAAGCTGTTTCTTTCTCTTGAAGTCACAGCTTCTTAATATTCCGGTTTCTTATGGAAGAATAGTAATAAATAGTAATGTTGCTTTTCTTCAAAGCAAGAATCACATTCTTTTTTCTCTTGTAAAATTTTCTTCCTTTGGTTTTATCTGAAACTTCTTCAAGGCTTAACAAATGGCCTAGCTTGCACTAATCAATGATCAATCAATAAGGAAATTTGAATAAAATAAAATAAATAAAGAGAAAGAGCAAAGTTTAATACATAAAAAAGGGGATGACACTGCTTGGTTTTTTGACATATTTTTCCCTCTTGCTATGCTGCGTATGTCCAAATTGGTTGGTTTTCTACCTATGACTGCACATGTCCAAAAGCTTCTTCCTTCCTTCTACTATTTCATCAAAGAAATCATCAAGTTGCCCCGTTATAGTCTCGACCCCACATCTCAACAACCCAAAGCAACTCTTCACGTTGTCAACTTTTTCTTGGATCTCAGCATGTCCTTCATAACCTGTTATTCTCTCCAACTCCACTTTTAGTTCCTCCATGGCACTCTTTGCTTGTTGGAACTCAAACAGCAGAATCCCTGGCTGCCCTTCTATCTGGTCTATCTCCTCTGCCACTTTCTGCTGCAACATGGCCATTGACACCATGAAACCAGATCCAAAAACCATGTGTCCCTCGTACCCTTGGTGAAAGCAAGAGGAGGACCAACAATATGCAAGCCCGCAAAGCAGAATCATCAGAAGCAGTGAACTAACACTCCTCATTGCATAGAGAACCCCTCGGAATCCACTGAATCCATTCAACTTCGATTCCATTGAGATGTTCTGAATCAAACATTGGGACAACGGTTCAATCCTTGTTTCCATCAGGCTCTTGTTTTCCTCTTCCAATCCTAGTATCTCCCTTTGACAAACATTTATTGCCCGAATAACCTGTATCACATTAGACTTATTAAACAAGTTTTTGACATCACACACCACCAGATGTCTCTCATAGAAGACAACAAGATCACTGTCGAAGATAATCTTGTTTGAACTACATTTAGACTTGTAAACAAGTTGGTAAACAATAAACAAGCTTTTGAGAAAAGGCGATGTGCATAGTATTAGAGTTAGTATACCAACCTGACGTGAAAGTTCTGGAGTAAACTGATGGTAACCATCCAAAGAAGAAGCTATATTAGAGGCAGCCGAGTAATAGTTCTCCATTCCAGAAATGGCTGATTTGAGAACATGACAAGCATCCCAAAGCCTTGAGCTTTCATCCATGTATTCATCCAACCATTTGCCTCCAACAGGCAAGCGAAGCTTGCGGACCAAAGTGGTTAGTTGGGAATGGAAGGACTGGAGAGAGGAGATGACCTGTGAAAGGAATTGGATGGACATGAAGGTGTGAGAGAGGAAGGATTGGTGGAGTTCATTGAGTCCTTGTGTGAGGAAGTTGTAGAAGCCACTCACAGAAGAGTTGGTACCCATCATGCAAAGGCAATAGCAAGGTGAGGGAAAGTTGATGGAGATTGATGGATATATATAATTGGAAGATTGAGGCAATCAAAGAAGTGGGGGTAGCTTAGGAGCTCAGGTTTCTATGGTGAAAGGGTCCTGTTGGGTGCAATCATGGTTGTTTCCCAAACAGTGGAGGGGATGATTGGGAATCTGCTGGTCTTTTTTTTTTTTTTTTTTGAGAGAGAGAGAGGGAAGGAATGAAAGTAGAAGAAATGAAATAAAATAAGGAAAAGCTTCTTTTCATTTAACCTGACAACTTTTTTTTTTTTGCCTTGTTTGTTATTCCTTCAAGGACTAACTTGGTGTTTGTTAAGAATAAATGGTGGAAAGGAATATTAACAATCTTGGAGCTCTTCATATACGATATGTTGGATTGTGTTTCTTGGGGGTTAAAGTTTGACTACTTTGACTAAGATTCTGCTTCTCATTTTTCCATTTTGATTTGGTTCCCTTTTGGATTGAGTGCTGTGTGCTGTGCCTTGCTTCTCTTTGGCTTCTTCCTTATCCTCTTCTCGCGCACTGCACTTTTTGGTTTTGTTTTCTTAAGGAAAGTTGTGCATAGTTCCATTTTGGTTCTTTTGAAAAGACAAGTGTTGTGTGTACTCCCAGTATTTTACACATTACTATGCAGATTCTTCTTTCTCTTTTAGGACCCAACATTCTATATTTAAATCACACTCGTTTGCATGAAATATAATATATAATGCCAAACATGTTGCCAATGATTCTAGAACCGCAATCAAACAAACCCTTCAACCACACAATTCCTTCGTTTCTGTTACTGAGATTATTGCAAGCAAAATCTGCCAGCTGGAAGCTCATCATCTTCACTTTATCTGGGGCGACCAAATCAAGTCAAACTCAACCTAAAATCCTCACCTTATTATATTCACTGATGAATTTGCATCATGGAAACAAAAATCATCATTTCACATCTCAAAAGGTGTATACCAGTTTCAATACAATCCTCTCTCTGCTTCAGATTTGAGTTCAGAAAATGGAACAAAAACAAATTTAAATCCAATCCAATACATGATGTAATAAAATAACTAAGATGAAAACTAGTGTAAAGATAATCAAGATTGAAGAAAAGTTTTGTTAGTGACCTATTTAACAAGGTTGAAGAAGCGTCCCCTGTGGTTTATTCCACCAAATCATTGCAGAATTTAAGAAGAAGATAGAAAATAAAAGTATATCTAGAAAAGGACAACACTTTAATCGCTCTTTCCATTTGATTAGGCAGATTTTAAGGGCAAATGCAACCTTTAAAGGAGACCATATCACATATTCAAATATTCACGAATATTTTGGTCCTGTATTATAAAATTTGCCCTACTTGTTAATGACATAGTCCTTGTTAAGGGCATCTAAATTAAATACATAACTAGTCATTATCTGCGGTACGGTTAGTTTTCAGTAATTCATTGATTAATTTTGGCATAAAAGAACATTTAAATTGTTATTTTAATTCAGATGCATGGATTCGGAATTGTTATATATATATATATATATGCTTATTAATTAGACAATGAAAGATTATCCATCAGCTATGTTCTTTATTCTTTATTTCCTACAATTGCTTAGGTTCTTATTCATGTAACTGCTACTTTTCATTATTTTATTGATGGGAAAGAAGTCATATTAATAATAAAAAAAAATCAATGATAAATTAATTATAATTAATAATTCAATCTCCCTAAAATAAGTTGTAATTTAAATACCTAACTATAGGGATGTTTATTTGATTGAACCCCTTTATATTATACCAATTCCATTAACTAAACAGGTTGAATTAAATTCTATTTTATTTTTAAGTTCAACTCAATTCGATTTTATCACTTATTTTAAACTTATTAAGTAGTTTTTGTATGTTTAATCTAAAACTCAATCTAATCCTATTATTATCATTATTAAACAATAGTATAATTATTATTTAATTTATTAAATTATTCTATTAACTAACACATGTATTTTTTTTAAATTAATATAATTTATTTTTTAAATATTATTTCACAAAGTCTAACACAAACAAATTTTAAACAAAACAAAATTTCAAAACATACGAGACCCAATTGATATAAAAAATCTAACTCAATTAAAAATAAATTATGATAGATTGGGTCTTTTTTTCTTTAAAAAAGAAAATCAAATCTGAAGTTTATAATTACTTGAAAGTTGGAATTTGTCAAAATAATTGATAACAGTATGCTTAATTAGTAGATTTAATAAATTATATATTTATATAGTTTTCTTCTTCTAATAATAAAACCAGTAGTGAATCTTGACAATTGATCTTGAAGGACTAAATAATATATTATTAATAAATAATAAATAAATATAAAAGGAAGGATGAAAGGATAAAATTGTAGATATATACTTCAATATATTAAATGATTATTAAGTTTGAGAGAGACAAAATCATAAATTATATGAGAGGTACAAAATCAAGGAAGGGATGAGAGGATAAAATTGTAAATATACAAATAAATATATTAAATATTTATTAAGTTTGGGCTCAAAATCATAAATTACATGAGAATTACAAAAATTTGGAGTCACAACCCCTCAGTTCCTAGAAAAATTCTTCACTAAATAAAACTCTTTTATTTTATCAAATAAAATATCATTTAAAAACATTCACTGTGGTCGATTTAATGTCAAGTTTTTAATAATAGCATATCGAGTATCAGGTTATAACTTTATGTGATTATAACAACTTGTGAATCAAGTTATGTTTTTCAATGTAAATTGTAAATTGTTATTATTATTATTATTATTTTTCTAAATTTCATAGACAACATGCAACAATGATTTTTGATATATGTAATGAAATAGTCATGACTGTGAAACAATAACTAGAAATTGAGGGATTAGAAGTTAAATTAGAATCCATATTGTAAATAAAGAAAATTTCAATGAGTGAATATTGATGTCAATAGATATAGAGATATATGATATATGGAATAAAAATATTTTTTTTTCAAATATTTGTACAAGAAATAATTTTTTTTTCCAATGTTTCAACTACAAATCTTAAAAAACATAATCTTGAAACTGAGTAGCATTTTTATAATTAAAAAATAAAAATATTTTTTAAAATAAACTACTTAAAAAAATATTTTAATATAAATCTGATGTACATAATTTTTTTTTTCAATTTTAAACAACTTTATATATAAGAATTTTGAAAATACAAACTTATACATGTCTAATTTTTTATATAATTAATTTCTTTTAAAATATTATTTTAAATTTTTTTTTCACTTTTTAAATCTATTAATTTTTTTCATTTTTTTCTTTCTCATATTTTTTCTATTTTTAATATATATATATATATATATATATATATATATATATATTATTTATTAGGATGAAATTTCATTGAGTCTATAACATATCTTACTTATTTTAATTTAAGAAAAATATTTTCACATGTCTATATTTTTTATCACACAAAACCTTAGACACAGACTTCATTAATGTGTACACTTAAAAAAAAAAAAAAAAAAACTTTAGAAACGAAACTCAATCAAAAACAAATTGAATGAAGTTTCCAAAATAAAAGAGCAATTAATTTTAACAAAAGAAGAGTATAGAGATAAGATACACAGCAAGGTGGACATTAGTAGGACCTCAAAATTATGTTCCCCAAACAATGTTCACAGACAAAACTATACTTTTTCTGGTGAATTATGTGCATAACCATTTAATATCAAATGAGGATTAATTTTGATTAGTGGAGATTTTCACAATCTAAGTATTAACAAGAACGTTTAAAATGTTCCCTGCAATAGTTCTCAGTTTCTCCAACAACAATCGTTATCGTAATGTTTATGTTGATTAAGATTTAAAAAAAAAAAAAAACTATTCAAAAATAAATTTCGTAATGAGTAAACCGATTAGTTGATTACCAATAAAAAATAGCCTTAACTATAAGGATTTGATCTTCTTCCTCCGCCTCAGACTTTCTTCACTAAAATTTTAATACATCCAACTCCGTAAGCAAAAAAATCATCTATACTTCATTTTCTTAGTGCAAGTAAAAAATTATGAATTATAAACGAAAAATCCTATAACAAATAAAAATAAGAAGGCTAGATGAACAAAACTCACTACATTATGAATCAAAATAGAGGTATATATACAAAATAAGTGTAACAGAAAATATAGACTTCTAACATAAACATATTAAGAGTCCCATTATTCCCAACTTGGTACATACATTCTAAAACATAGTTGGAGACAAATTGACAAAAGTTTGATTAAATCTTGTTGACTTTCTCCTTAATAATGTGATAATCAATCTTAATATGTTTAATTTTTTTATGAAAACTTGATTAAAAGTAATCTATAGAGCAAATTGATTATCATACTATAATCAAGTTGGTCGAATAAAAGAAAGATGAAATGTCAATCATTGAATTTCAGAAGTGATAGAAGCTAATGAATGATATTCTACCTCCAAAGAACTCCTATAAATGGTATATTATTTCTTAGAATGCCAAGAAATTAAATAAGAGTCAAGATAGACAGAAAAACTAATAATAGAATGACGAGAATCAATGCAACTGACCCAATTAGGATCATTATTTTAATTGAAGAATATTGTTTGCAGTAAGAAAAATGTCATTGTTGTGGGACAAGAAACAAACTAACTTAAATGTTGAACAACATATGTTGTATCTAGATGAGTACCAATTAAGTATATGAGTATGTTAATTAATCATCTATATACAAATGAATAAGAAAGAATGGTTCCCAAATTGGAGTGAAGATGAGCATTGTAGATCCAATATATATACCTTTTTTTACACACATGTATCCCGAAAGCATTGTGAGCAACCTCAAGTCTAAGGAAAAAATTTAGATTACCAAGATCCTTGAATTTAAATGTAGAATCAAGAAAAGATGTAATATGGTCAATCTCTACAATATCATCATTGACTAAGACAATATCATCGATATAAACA